GAGAGAGAGAGAGAGAGAGAGAGAGAGAGAGAGAGAGAGAGAGAGAGAGAGAGAGAGAGAGACACGTCCTTTGGCAGGGTCTAGACCTGTTCACCAACAGGATATATTTATGAGCCTGTCAAGGATTTGTCACTGGTGCTGGACTCCTAGGATCACACGTGTGTTTGCTGCCAATTCCTTTTCTCCATCCTATACTTGCTGATAGCCATTTTGACTGGGGGCGGATGATACGTGAATTTGCTGCCGCCAACTTGTATTCCCCATCCTATACTTTGCTGATCGCCATCTTGACCAGAGCGCATATCAAATGCATTAATTAGTGCAACTCCACAATAGCTGATGGATGAATCACACACGCACATTACGAGAAGTGAGGAGAAAGTTCGCAAGCGACCCATTCCGTCGCGGCAGCTTATTTATTTGCCCTCGTCATCAAACCCCTACGTTGGTTGACGACTCCTCACAGCTCAACCCTTGAATCGCTGCCCTTTGACACCTGTTGACTACCTACCAACTTCTGACACATTGATAGCAATCAATGCCATGGTTATTCCCAAGTCCCCATGCAAAGTCGCAGCAAGCTCCACGGTCGCTGGGACTTCGGATTGAACCTCCGTCTCCACTGCCGTTTCACGGTCGCCTCTGCAGCGATATGTGCTCTCCTGCATACTGAAGGTCGTCATCATCGTTAGCCCCAGCCCCCCGGCGACCTTGTACCATGGAAACTCTGTCCCAAAACATCCACAGAAACTACCACAATGAATGCCACAGTAAATGCCGCAGTAATTACCATGATAACTGCCACACTAACTGCCGCAGTAAATGCCGCAGTGACTGCCACTGTAGCTGCCGCAGTAACTACCGCAATAACCACCACTTACATGCTGATCGTTTTGTACTGCCGCAGTAACCGCCACACTGAATGCCACAGTAAATGCCACAGTAACTGCCATGTAACTGCCATGTAACTGCCATGTAACTGCCATGTAACTGTCATGTAACTGCCGCAGTAACTCCCACGGTAACTGCCACACTAACTACCGCAGTAACCGCTGCAGTAAATGCCACAGTAACTACCGCGGTGAACGCCACAGTAACCGCAGTAACTATGGCCACCACTTCCAGCTGGTCATTTTGTACTGCCGCAGTGACTGCCACAGTGAATGCCAAAGAGAACGCCACAGTGAATGCCACAGTGAATGCCATGTAACTGCCATGTAACTGCTCCCACGGTAACTGCCAGACTAACTACTGCAGTAACTGCTGCAGTGAATGCCACAGTAACTAGCGTGGTGACTGCCACAGTAACTACCACAGTAACTACGGCAGTAACTGCCACAGTGACTGCCGCTGTATCCGGTAACCGCCGCTTCCACGCTGGCCCGTGTACAACCGTAGTAACTACGGCAGTAACCGCCGCTTCCACGCTGGCCGCTGCGTACCCCCGTCATTTTGTATTCTCACCATCATCAACAAGGTTTTTGATGCTCCGTTAAGAGACTATGGACCTCAATCCGCTACACAAGATACTAAATGTATCTAGAGTCTAGACCTGTCAGTAACTACTGCAGTAACCGCCGCTTTCACACTGGCCGCTGTGTACCCTCATCCTTTTTTGTATTCTCGCCACCATCAACAAGGTTTTTGATGCTCCGTTCAAAGACTATGGACCTCGATCCGCTACACGATACTAAATGTTTCTAGACGTGTCAGAGGTCCGATGCATTCAAAATGTTTCATCAGTGCCTGTCCAGATTCTTGTTGAATACTGTCTAGTGGAACAAGGCCCAGTACCTCCTTTGGGAGCGATCTCTCTAATGATCATCTGGCTCTAACCACCTCCACAACCACAATTCAGTTTCGCAGCAACCACAGAAACTGCTACAGCAACACACAGTCACTTCCCGCCGTAACGATGGGAGTTACGCCACAGTAAATGCCACAGTGAATGTTGCAGCCGCCGCACCAACTCCAGCGACTCTGTTCCACAGCAACCTCAGAAACTGCTACAGCAACACACAGTTACTTCCCGCGGTAACGACGGCAGTTACACCACAGTAAATGCTACAGTGAATGTTGCAGCCGCTGATGCTATAGCTGATTTCACACCGACTCCAACAACTCTGTTTTGCGGCGACCACAGAAACTGCTTTTTTTTTTACAGTAGCAGTTTCTGTGGTCGCTGCGAAACAGAGTTGTTGGAGTTGGTGTGTCAGCAGCTACTGCCCGGAGTAACGGAAGTACACAGTGAATCTCACAGCAAATGCTATAGCCGCTGTGCGAGCAAATGCTATAGCCGCTGTCAGAGCGAATGCTATAGCAAACTGTCAGAGCAAATGATATAGACGCTGTCAGAGCAAATGCTATAGCAAACTGTCAGAGCAAATGCTATAGCCGCTGTCAGAGCGAATGCTATAGCCGCTGTCAGAGCAAATGCTATAGCAGGTGTCAGAGCAAATGCTACAGCAGCTGTCACAGAAAATGCTATACAGTGAATGTCACAGCAGCTGTCGCACCAACTGCCACAAACTCAGTTCCGCAGCAACCACAGAAACTTCCAGAGTAGATTCGATAGGAGCTGCCACAGACGGGCCCACAACACTCAAAATCCACCTAAGTAACTGCACATATTAACTGTCCTATGAAGCACACCAACTGATGGTAACTAGCACAGTAACCCTGGTAATTCCCCCTCCTCCCCCCCCCCCCCCGTTATTTGGGCTCAGTTGAAGTTTAACCGTGAGATCCACACCGTCAATGCTGCTATAGCAGCTCTGTCATACCAACAACTGCCACAACTCAGTTCGGCAGCATGCACAGAAAAAAATACAGTTAAAAAAACAGTTACTTCCCACCCTAACTTCCAGAGTAGATTCTATAGCATCTGCCACAGAAGGGCCCTCAACACTGAAAAGCCGCCCAAGTAATTGCACATATTAACTGTCCACGGTAGCACAATAACTGTCACGATGTGTTTCTTGAGGGCGGGGGTATGTTTCAGCCGGCGCTAAGCGCTCTTCCCTAGCGCTACCGGGTCGCGAGTGACCCACGGTCAACCGACGCGCAATAACTGTCACAGTAACTGACGGTAACTAGCGCAGTAACCATGGTAAGTGCCCCCGCCCCGGTACTTGGGCTGCTGAGTTGAGCTTGACCATGAAGACCACCACCATCAATGCCATGACCACCGTAGTGTTTTCTACCAGTCAATAATTGCTCAGGTTCAGGCATGCCGTGAACGTTCAACACTGAAAAGCTGTGACCCAAGGTACGAAACCGCCTCCCCCACTAAACCGCCAATACATGACCCCAGGCTTGCAGAAAACGACCGCGTCCCCACCACCGCAACGTTCGGGGCCAGGCCGCTGGGGATAAATTTCATCAACGGTCTTTGTCACGTTTCCGGCCCCCCGGAAGTCGTGGCGAGGGGCCCGTAGCCGATCTATGGCCCCGCGTACTGGTGCTTCAAGTTCGACAGCCACGACGGTTAACCACTCTCAATTCTAATTGCCGATATCGGGACATGCTGGACGTCGACCTTACACCGACAGAACAAATTGGAAACAAAATCACCACTGTCGCCACCACCATTTCCTTTTTTTGTTCGACAACTTCGAAACAATGCATCCGCTATGGCATCCCGCGACAGTAAATACCATTGTCAGGAAATTTTACGCTGGACGTCTAACCTCGCGGGAATTAGGGCCAGATCCCACTGGCATAGAGGATTGGAATGAGTGTCTGAATCTGGACGTGTTTGTGGCGAGGTGCAGAAAACTGTGATTGATCTGCTTTTATGCATCTCTGCATGGAACACGTCCAGATTCAGACACTTATTCCAATCGTCCTTGCCAGTGGGATCTGGCCCCTGAACGCGCTCACAAACACAAATCACATTAGTAGCAACCACCACCACCATGGCCACCCTTTCTGCATCTCTGTGTGGAACACGTCCAGATTCAGACACTTGTTCCAATCATCCTTGCCAGTGGGATCTGGCCCTTATGCTGGACGTCTAACCACGGTCACCATCGCCACCCTTTCCTTTATTGTCCCGAGAATTTCCAACAACAATAACACATCCGGCATCTCGACGGCTCGTCTCGTTGCGTTCCTCGCCACCCCGACTTCTTCTTTTTTTTGTCCTTGCAGAGCATCTTCCAGGTCAACGACTTTGGGTGTCGCTCCACTACTCAACACTCCCACATGCACTACGACACGTTTCTCGACCAGGTGAGTTTGGAGTCGTCCAACATTTGGAATGCATAGAGTCCGGAAAGCGTCCAAATGCATGTAGAGTGTGTTGTTGTGTGGTTGCGCGACAGCCTTCCCCATCGCCGCGCCTTCGTCATCTCAAAAGCCATTGATCGTATTACCGATTGATTGGTCACTCGTACTCTTGGTGCAATTGCCGGAATCGAATCGCCTTGTGCCACAGAAAACCATGAGAGGTTTTCCACCCGTTCGCCAATTAATCTATTATGATGACATTACAGGCACAGATCAACCGCATTTCCTGTTCGGGCATGCAATTCATGGGTAGCTTGCACATTTGGGCTTGGTTGGGCTTAGGCTGCGCTCCGAAGTTGGGCCTAGATTCGTCGTCGAAAGTTCGAAGTGCCAGTATACCCTCTCCTGGATGCCGCAGGCAAGAGGTAAGGTCAACAGCCCTGCGGCTGTCAGTGCCATGTGGACCCCATTCGAAGAGCAGAGTCCCCTGCTGCCGACGTTCCTCTGGCATGCAATAGTTCTGTGAAAATGTTTTGAGTGTCACGGGCACCCTCCTCTTCACCCAACTCTGCATCGACCTCTCCTACCTCCTTCACGATATCCAGCATGCGACAACAACTGGTTTCACGCCTCAACGCCGCGCACACCCTACTCGTCGTAATCTTCATGTGCGAGGCTCTTCTGCTGTAATGGGTCTCGCGCCATCGGCAGCATGCAATGGTTTGCCAGTGCATGAGAGCAACACGAAATCCAATATCGGACAACAGAAGACTGCTCTTATATCGAGGCAAAACAGTATTACGCCTCCAAGTGTACAATCCACGAAAGTGGAGCGAATATTCAACGAACAAACAAGCTGGTAAATAGTCATGCTGCGCGCGCAGAGGTCCTCCTAGGCGAACAAGACTGTCGACATCCGATTCCAACGTGGCTGGACCGTCGAGTGCTGAGGCCAGCACCCAGGATCTCCACCCATTCCGATATCGTTAAGCAAATTATTATCTTCCCTTCCCAGATTCATTTGCAGCAAAAAATGCACTGAAGCATTCTGCGAACAACATTTCCTGCGCAGAACAGCTCGCAGGCATGAAGTGGCGTCTCGTCCGAGATTGCCGCTGCGGAAAGGCCTGCGCGAACCAACAATCCTCTCGCATGGAGTTCTCAAAGTAACCAACTGTCGACGGCAATCCTCCCATAGAGTTTGCAGAAGATCTAAGGACCTTGCTCCACTATCGAACGCTTCAAAATTTGAATGCATCTGGCCCTCATTGTGGTCGCAATACATTCAGAACGTTGGATTCAATCCTCAGATAGAGTTTGCAGAAGATCTAAGGACCTCGCTCCGCTATCGAACCCTTTGAAATTTGAATGCATCTGGACCTTATTGTGGTCGCGGTACATTCAGAACGTTGGATTCGTCCGAATGTATCCTTCCAGCTTTCCTGTCCATATCCTTGCTGGATGTTATGTAGTGGAGCGATGCCCTGAAGTACTGAGACCATACACACTCTCCATTGACTCTTGATCATCATTTGACTTGCCTTCGACCGTCCATCGACTTTCGTCATTGAGGAACTCGTCTCATTCAGCCAGCCTAAGAGGGGAGGGGGAGGGGGGGGGTCACCCAATACATTAAAATTTAGAACTTGAGCCCACGCGTGCACATATTGTCACCCGCGGACTTCGATGATCGCTGTCAAGTCAGGCATGTTTCACCCACCCACCCAATCGCTAACCGGGGGAGTCGAGCGGACAAATCCAAACCATTCCTAATATAATACTGCTCGGAACTCATCCGCGGTTATCTTGTTCATGATACGACTCCGGGCTTAGACCGAGCGGCAAAGTTAACGAAAAGTACACTCCGGTGGAAATAGACAAAAAAAAGTCAAACCACAGACTGAAACCATCTGGTTGTGTTTCCGAGTTGGGACTTTTAATTGCGTGGCGATTCGCAAGTTGATGGCGAGAGATAGCATGTCCGTAAATACATCTCACAACTTCAAAAGGCTAAAAAAAGAGAGAACTACTGTCTTCACCCGAATAAAACGCCCGGTCATTATCGCTGCACGTGGTCTGAAAGTTGCCCCGAACACATACAGCTAAAATGGCCGGACGCTCTATTCGGGTGAGGACGGTAGCTTGCACAAGAAACAGTTATTTTAAATGAAGTTCCACAGCACACTCACCTCACGATACGACTTCTTCATCAACTGCAACTGCGTTGGTGAGAACTGAAGTAGCGCCGAATGACGACAAGGAGAGAGGTACACGTCCCGGAGCCTGCGCGCCCTACCTACCCGTGTGCGGGGATTTCCAAGCGGTGAATTAACTTGTCGTTGACCATTGTGGCAGCATCGTATAACAAACACAAATACATCGCAAGTCGGAGCGGGGCGATCGGGAGGGGAGGCGGAACGACAGGGGCACCGGTGCCCATTTCCATGTGTGCTCTTCTGCTGCTTCGACGATCGACGTCTCCCAATACTTTCTAGAAGAATTTAGAGCTTGTAAATGTACAAAGGAATGAAAGGAGTCAAGAAGACTGGATCGTTCACTTCCGCGGAATCTCGAACCGGCAAACTGGGCAAGTTCGATGACCTTTCAGCCACTTAGTTATACATCCCTGACTGCAAAATGACAAAAGACAACCAGAAATGGAAGAGAGAGAGAACAACATAAGACATTCCGAAAAAAAAAAAAAAGAAAAAAAAAAGCCTTTAAAAAGGTATAAAACCCCTAACAGGACCCACCCCACCCCCACCACCCGGTCCCCAAGAAAACAAAAGAACTGAGGGAAAACCAAAGAAAAACAAAAAAGCAGAAATCGGCTAGCAATAACAGACAGAAGGACATTGACGGGTGTGATTAATTAATTCAAGATCAACCATCACAGTGTTCTTTGAGGGGGATGCTCATATCACCCCCTCTAGCACCCGGCGCGGGGTTTGTGGCCCCCTTCCCCCCCCCCCCCCCCCCCCCCCCCCCCCCCCCCAAAAAAAAAAAAAAAAAAAAAAAAAAAAAAGAGATCAATCATCGTGCAGCCGAGTCATAACGACCATGTCGGGCATCATAAAAAGGGATAGGGGTCACAATTTCAATCTGATTTGCACAGACTTTTACTGACATGCTCTCCGAGCCGTGCAAAAAAACAAAGACCTAAAAAAAAAAGAAGAAAGAAAGTGACCAAAGACCACCGACAGGCCTAGCTCAGTGGGGACCACACCCATGAACTGTTGAAATACAGACCCGAATAAGAATCCAGGTGCAACAAGGTGAACAGAATAAAATAATTATGAATTACCACGAGTCGGTCAGTTCCTGATATCTCAAGGCCGTTGCCCTTTTTTCCTCTCTCTCTCTTTTTTTTTAAAATGAAGTGCAAGAAAAACGACTCTAAATGAGCAATAGCGAAATGACAGAAATCCAGAGTGCAAACTCACGTTGGAAGCCAGCAAGTCCAACGCTGTTCAGAAAGCAGAAATGCAGAGCGCTGATGGGTGGAACACGTATATGAAGTTTACTCGCTGGTATTCATGCTTGCAGGGAAGAGCTGACGGGTGGAACACGTGTGTATGAAGTTTACTCACTGGTATTCATGCTTGCAGGGAAGAGTCGTAACCATTTCTCCAGGGCAGCCGTCGCTCATACAGATCTGCCAAAAAAAGAAAAAAGAAAAGGCAAAGAACATGAAAATAAAATATTCATAATTTCGCACACAGTACAAGGCTGCAACGTTAAAAGAATTAGCCTTTATAAGTTTACATTAATTATATAATTAAATTAAAAAAAAACTTCTAAAAAGGGTGAAATTTGCAAAAAAAGAACTATTTGATTGATTAAAAAAAAA